ATGAGCTCACTAGTGGGGAGGGCTACAGAACTTAAATGTCAAACAACAGTCACCAGAAGTCAAAACAGAGGGAAGAGCAAAGAATTTTGAGATTGAACTCTGTCACTAAGCCTTGTAAACCACAAGTCATATTTATTACTGAAATTATTATTATCACATATTTACAAAATGACAAAAAGGAATGATTCAAGGTTCAGAAGGGATGTTTCAAGACTTTTCTGAGAATCAGTTACACAAGGGCGAGCTTACATGGAACACTATGCCGCATCTCCTAGCTATCACCATGTCTCTGACTTACTTGTGCCCAAGTTCTTTCACCTTTAAAAGGAAAATTATAGCAATAGCTCTCTGATGGTTGTTACTGAGGAGCAAATGTGCTCATATGCTCAAGAGATTGGAATAGTATGTGATGCACTTGCTAGGTGATAGCTGCTTTTACCGCTTTTATGATCACTGTTTCTACTGCAAGCACCACGTATTCCTCCCACAGTCCAGTTACAGAGTGTCGACACCCCAGTAAGATCTGTACTCACAGTGGGATTCACATGAGGAAGAAGCAGAGTCAGAAGATGAGCATGTGGGCAGCTGGGACACCCACTTGGGGTGAGATGCACAGAGTCTGGGTAGCCATATGTTGAGATTGGGGGAAGCTCTGAAGAAAAGGGAAGAAGACAAGCCTTTTGTGTCTTAGATTTTGTCCCTGGCAGATTGGAGGACAGTTGGGGAGAGAATTCTAATCCTCAGAGGTTGAAGGAGATAGAAATGTACTCATTTGACACTCACTCACCTTTCACAAGAACTGACTCACTTTGTTGTCAGTCAGAACTATTGCTTCGGGCCATGTCATAACTCCAAGAGAGCACTGCCTACTATTCAGGTTTGAATCCCTTAGCCTGACACAAGCACCTGCCACAGTCTGATCTTGTCTCCTCTAGGACCTTACTGAAACTTTTACTGAATGACTCAAAATACAGACTGAGATGGTAATGAAATAATAAGTCTTTACATCTATATTAAGTCTCAATGTGTAACAAATCATCTTGGAACTTTGCAGCTTGTCACAAAGAACAATGATTAGTTTGCAAGTTCTGTGAAGGGAAACCCCAGTGTTCCTAGACTGTGTCTTCTGACTGGGGATGGGAGAGGGACTCTCCATGACTGTAGTGAGGAGACCGCCAGGGCTGTGGTTATGTCAAGATATGACTAAGGAAGGTCACTGCCAAGCACACTCACATGGCTCTTGGCAGGATGCCGTTTTTCATGGGCTGTTAGACCCAAGGCCTCAGTCTCTCTTTGATATTAGCAGACACCACCACATTTCCCTTGCTTCCCGGTTTCTCCTAGCACAGTAGGTCCATGATTGTCAGATGCTTCACCAGAGCACACAAACAAAGACTTAAAGGGAGCAAGACAGAAGTCTCAGGTGTTGTGACTGAGTCTCAGAAGTCACTGACTTTTTTTTTTTTTTTTTGTAAACATCCTTGGTTTTTTCCCCCACATTGTAAGATTTCTCCCATCAGATGTAGTCACCGTAGTTTTCCCCACCAGCCCATAGTCCTTCACCACACACCACTGCTCTCTCTTCCACCCATCTCATTCTCTGCCCTCCCTCTAAACCCCTCCTCCTCCCCTCCTCAGTGTCTCAGATCTAAGGTCTGCTTTCAAAGGTCAGTTTGGCTTCACCTGATCCTTTGTTTATTTTTTCTAGTTTCCACATATAACTAAAACGATCTGGTATTTGTCTTTCACCTTCTGACTCGTTTCACTTAGAACAATCCCTTTTCAGTTTAATCCCGGTTGCAAATGGAACAAATTTTTAATTGCTGAGTAATATGCCATTGTGTGCAAGTTCTGCATCTTTTTCATACACTCATCTGTTCTGGAGTGTTTAAGTTGTTTCCTTATCTTGGCTATTGTAAATAGTGCTGCAGTAAACATAGGCGTGCATGTTTTCTTTCAACTTAAAAAGCATCTGTACAGAAAAAGAGACAGTGACCAAAATAAAGACACTCTACTGAATGGGAGAAAGTGTTTGCCTACCATATATTTGGTAAAGAGTGATATTGAAGATCTACAAAGTGCTTATACACCTCAACAAAAAGAAAACAATCCAGTCAAAAAATGGGCAGAAGAGCTAAATAGGCACTTCTCCAAAAAACTCATGCAAATAGTCAACAAACATTTGAATAAATGCTCTCCGTCACTTCTCTTCAGGGAAATGCAAATCAAAATCAAAATGAGGTACTACCTCACACCTGTGTGACTGGTCCATATGAAAACAGCAACAACAATACAAACAAGTGCCAGGGGAGGGTGTGAACAAAAGAAACAATTATACTGTTGGTGGGAATATAGACTGGTCTAGCTCCCTATAGAAAGAAGTATAAAGATTCCCTAAAAGACCAAAAATGAATTTACCATATGACCCAGCAATTCCACCCTAGGCACCTTCTCATAGAGGACAAAAGTGCTGTTCTTACTCATTAGAAACAAGTCAGTGACTGGCCCATACTCACTGGGAGAGAATCACATGAACATCAATGGGGAATCAATCATTTGAGAGCTGTTTTAGAAGCTGCTTGCCACATTTACAAAATAATATGCAATGGTGATGTTAGCTTCTGTAACAACAGATAAATACTGAAATATAAAATTCTTATTCACATTTATTCTTAGAGGATGTCCATGGAGTACCTTACTCCACAGTTTTTCAAATATCCTTACTGATGGAGTCACTGCCATCTTCAAAAAGGTGACATTGGCTGGACCTCCCTGGTTGTGCAAGGGTTAAGTCTCGACACTGTCAAGCTATCACAGCCACTGCAGCATGAGTTCAATCCCTGGCCAAGGAGGTGGCCCACATGTCACAACAGACCTCTCCAGTCTCATCCCCTGCTCCCCTCAGCAGTGTAATTCAGTCCATCGAACTGTTTTGCTTCCCACTCTGTCTCTGATGAATCCGCTCACCTACTCTGCACCGCTGACCTACACCCCAATTCTTGTATGCATAAATAAATAAATCTTTTTAAAAAATGGTGACATCAGTTGACATTGTTGAAGCAAAAACAGAAGAATGTGTGGAAGGTAACACTGGGAATTTTTATGGGTATATATTTTGCAGCTATTCACATTCCATTGACCAGAACTTGGTCACAAGACCCCACCCAGATGAACAGAAGCCTGGGGCCCCTCATTTCTAGCCGGGCAACTACTTTCCAGCAACAGCTCCCCAAAGTAGAAGAGGAACAATGAATCTGATGGACAGCCAGCCAGTCCAGAGACTTTGTCTTTTATGTTTTCATACACTTTTTCATTTGCTTTTCATCACAGCCTACGCTGTCAGCATTGTTATCTTCATTTTAGAGACAGGAAAACAGATCAGTATATCCTTAAAACATTCACAGCTGTCTGAAGAGGACAGAGTTCAAGTCCCATTTCTGCCACTGACAACTTTTCTGACCTGCAAAAGTTATTTGATATCTCTGTGCCTCGTTTTCTGAAATAGGACAATAGGTCCTGTACATAGTTATTATACAGATCTCATGCTGCCTATTTGTGTTTTGTCTGGCATGTGCAATTTTAAGGACTGTTAGTTATGAGGGAGATGATCATAATGTTATGTCAGGAGACTCACAGGACTTAAAGGATTTACCCAAAACTACACAAATGCAGAATCAGCAAGAAAGTCCAGGGAATTTAGGTAGCAACTTGGCTGTCTTTCAAGTGGGTGCTTTCCAAAGAAGCCAGTCCTCAGACTCCTGTGTGTGACAGCAGTGGATAATCCTCCCATGCCACCGGCCCCTTCTCTGTGCTGCGTTGGACCGAGGATCCCACAAGAGTGAAAACTCCGTCACCTTTTCATTCCAACTGTTAGTGTTCACCTTGGCTTTTGCCGCTCTATGTGAAACATGTGGGCCACGCTGCTCCTTTTTATGTGAACTCAGAGGTCCTCAACACCTGTATTTCAAAACTGTTGTTTATAAGTAGGCCCAGTCTTGCTAAGGAGATAAAAGTACAGGAAACGGCACAAGATGAGATAAATCTTTGGACCCTTAATTTCACCATATTTCTCCTAGGACCTTGAAAGGTTCAGTTTTGAAGAACAGAAAAGCAGTTTGAATGTTAGTCCCTGGAGCGTGTGGCCACCATATGACACAGCCCACCAGGAATAACCAAGAGATGTCATTCAAAGTTGCTGTGCTCATTGTCAGGACGTCTGTCCTGTTATAGAAAGCTAGGAGGAAATGAAATTGGACGCATTCAGCACTGTCAGTCTCAAAGCACTGTGTTTGTGCCCTAAGGAGCCAGATTCTCTGAACAGCAGATCGCATTAGGGCTCAACTCTAACCCCTTTCTTCCAAGAGGCTTTTAAGATAATTGATACTCTTGTATGGACCAAAATCACATCAAATTATTAGTAGAAATTTCGATTTTTATCAATAAAAAATGTCCATTAGTCTCTTTCAAGTTCTATCTTTCTTTCATCTTTTCTAGCAGGAACAACACTTGATATAAATCTTCCCTGTTAATGACATTTAATATATTTGGTGAAAAGATTTCCTGGTGAAAAGATACAGACAGGTTAGTCTTGTGCATCTGAGTGTGTTACTCCCATATTCCATATATTTCTTAGAGTCTGTGTTCTGATTATCCTATCAAAGCATAAATCCATTTCAGAAGATTATCCTTTTTCAAACTAGTTAAACAAGCGTTTATTCTTTGTGCACAGCCTAACAAAACCTCATTGATTCCACTTATGTGCCCGAGAAAATATAAGTACTATCTTTATAATGCTAGACACTTAAGGTGAAAGAGCAAAAAATTAAATTTGTCATCTGGATATATCTAGACAGCCAGATCTGGATCATAAAAAGATAAAATGGTATTGTCTATAAATTATGTCTGTGAGATGGGACATCCTCTGATTGCAGATGGTAGGGAGCATCTTGAGACGCCACCTTCAGTTCCATTTCAATGACTGTTCATCATCCCCCTTCTAGGAACCAATGTTCATGAAGCCCAGAACATACTCAAATGCAGCGGACTCCCAATTACCTCAGCTGTCGACCTGGAAGATGCAGCCAAGAAGGCTGTGGCCAGTGTGGCTAAGAAGTGAAGCCTTTGTCCTGACCCCTTGGAAGAAGAAGCCCATTTCCTATCAAAAGGAATAGTTCTCATCACTGTGAAGGAAATGGTTATCCCACTGGAGAAAAAAAAAATGATGAGGAGGGGGTGAACAAGAATCGCTGTATGAAAAATCTTAAGTCTGTTTTCCTTACTAAGATACCTATAACCTCTAAATTACCTTCTTTATTAACGTCCTACTCTGGATGCATTGTTTTGCTGACCCAGGGGAGCAGTCTATGCCAAACCAAATTTAACATCAGGACCTGGTTCCTTTGTAACAGTTTTGGTGACGTGTTTGAGCCTTTATAATAAATAAAAATTATAGACTGTCAGAATCTTAGATAAGATTACATTTACAGATTATCAAAAAGGTGCTGCTGTGACATAGTGCAACAGTTTTTACAAGTTTCTAATTCCACGTGTTTGGAAAATCCAGGAATATTCCAAAATATATTTGACAGTGAAAGAGCCACATTAATTTCCCATACATGGATTCTACCATTTGCCTTAGTAATTAAGATACTGTTTACCTCATACTAAAATAAAGCCAGAAGCCTTATTTATGATTTTTCGACAGGTCTTCTTCAACCTCAGAGGGAGCTATACCCAATAGAAACCATCATAAATTGAAACATCATTAAGTTGAAAATGGGCTTATTACAATATAAAAGACCAGCTACACAGTTCACTGTAGATTGTCAGTTGTGTACCCTCATGATGAATTTGCTGAATGCTTTGCTGGGGCTCACTACCTTTGTCCAACATCACAAGGAAGTATCATACTCCCTAGGAAAAGATCAAAATTTGAAGTATGGATTCTAATGGAAGTGTATTGCTTTCACATTATAAAAAAAATCATTAGTCTAAGTCAATCAGGAAAGTCTATAGAAGGTTGAATTTTGATGTCAAAACTGGAATGTTATGGAAATTTCTGCAATTAAAAAACTTCAACATGAGACCTTACTGAAGATTAATGTTCTGTCACTGTCTTCTCTCCCTTCTCTTTTTCCCTTAGAAACTACCACTTGGAAAAACATAATGAAGAGAATGATAATTTTTTCCATAAGGTCTGTTTTTGTGATGAGGAAAAATTTGAATTTGGTTTTTGTTGATAAATTTCAGTAAATTTTTACCTGTACATGAATTTAAATAAAATCTGTTTCATATGCTCTGAGATAAATATTTCTCATTGTAGTCAACTTTGTTCTTCAAAACGTTTTCTTTTGCCAACCAAGATACTAGCCTTAAGAGCCTTAGACATATCTCCAGAATTAGAAAATTCTGGTTTACCCAGAATTATTTCCCTTCCATTCAACTTCATCAGCAACCAATTCTGTTAGGAGATAATTCAGGAAAGAACAAAAAAATCATCTATAAACCAGAAACCCAAACAAATGTCACCGATATGTAATAGGTTAAAATGTGACTGACTTCACTTTGCATAATGTGAAGGAAATATAATGACATGAGTTTCTCTCCTTCAATGGGCTCTCTTTTGCTAGCATTAACTATTTTCCTCTCAACATACAAATGTGTGGCAGACCAATTTTCATTGTTCCCACAGATTTCACAGTTGAACAAAAGTTTAACGTCATTATTTTATAGATTCATATTTACCATGGAGAAAAAAAAAACATTTGACAAGCTTCATGTCCTTTCTTAACTGTTTTGCAATGAATGAAAATTATTAATACCTGTTTAAGTGTGTCTTGGGTTTTGATAGCTTAATAACTAGATGATATGAAAAAAATTATACTCTTAGACAAAAGAACATAATTGAATTTTTGTACTTTATCCTATTGCTGTATATATTGATGTTCCTAATCAATCTAGTTTGGAGGAGGGGGTAAATCACTCGTGATTATTTTTAAAGAGTTACTAATAAGCAGGTAACTGTTTGTTTTCAAATCAGTCATTATTTGTCAGTATTGGGCTTCATATTGTTTCTTCAGAGTTCCAAGGGTTTGAGTTTATATTGCTCACATGGTATCCCTGGTACTGAGCATGATATAGATGCACATGTGTTTGTAGAATGACTTACTAGTTGTGCGTAGACCCAACCCAGTGATACTGATGATGCAGCATAGAATCCCAAACAGTTTGTGTTGGTGGCAAATCGGATGTCCTCTTTGTATTTCCTACTCCTTCATGTATTTTGGACCTTCCAAATTACCTTCAAATTACGAAGGCAAATTACCTTTGTCTTAATCTATTCTACAGCCTGTGTCTCTTAATGCCATTTTGTGAAACCAACTCCAGATATGATGCCAATCCCAGTGGTTTTGTCCTCTGGCCTAGGTGCATTACAGGCAGTGCCCTCTACTTTAGTATTATGCTCCATGCTGATCACACAATGAGAAGTCATTAAGTATAACTTTATGTGTAAATATGGAAAGTAGCTCACTTTCAATCTGATCAGTGTTCTTTAAACTTGGTCCTGTACTAAGCAAGAATACCCATGAAAGTAGGCCACTATCTGAGCATCATACTAAGTGTCTAAGTTGCTTACCAAGCAGTACAATTCATATGTCATACCTTTGTGTTCTGCATCCAGGAATTTAATCAACTATAGATCAGAAACATTACTATTTGATTAGGCCCATGATGTTTGCATGTGTACTGAACATGTACAGACCTCATTTTCTAAGGACACCATATATAACATTTGCAGAGCTGATGTGTTAGTTACTTTAGTACTCTAAAGATGATTTAAAGTATATAGGAGAGTGTGCATAGTTTATGTGCAAATACTACACTATTTTATATAAAGGACTTGCATATCCTGGGTTTTGGTATTCCCAGGGGTCCTGGAAGCCCATAGCTAGCAAAGGAACCCTATACACATCTATTTACCTGATTTGCTTTTCATGTAAAATTTTAAGTCTTGCTAATAGAACATGGCGGTTGCCTAGAACCAGCATCAGATTTAAGAGGATGAAGATTGACCCTCTGATTTACTAAAAGATTGACCCTCCCATTTACTAATGAACACTTCTTTTGAGTTGCTTAATTCCTGGTGTTTGTCCACACTCTTGTCGTGAAGGGCATCCAATTTGATCTTAAAAGGGAGGAAACCATTTTGTTCTAGAGATTGTAAAAGACAGATCGTATTTACAGTTAGGCCAGTATCTAGAGTCTCAGTGCCACCATAACTTGAACTCTACATCTCCTATCAGCATGTCTCTGGTTTAAATACTCAGGAAAATCATTTTTCTTTGGTGGCACAGTAACTACTGGGCATGTTAGGTACATATTTTCAAACTTAGCATCCATTAAAGGAGGAGAAAGGAAGAGACAATAAAGCAAGACAGTGAAAGGGGAAGTGAGGAAGCAAGTACAAAGTTTATCTTTTCTTTCCTGATAGTTTTGGGAATCATCCAGAATTGAAATTAGCAATGTTTGTATCTAGAACCTACCCCTAAGCCAGTCATTCCTCTGGTTTGGAGTTGCAGAGCTCTGATGAATCCTGTCTGGGTTCAGTAACTTCTTGTGGACTTAAAGACAAAACCAGTGTCACCTTAAATACTGGGGGTAACAATAAGCAGAGGTGGAGCTCTAACAAAAAGTAGTGTATTCTGGGAAGGAAAAAGAAGAGATAACAAACACATCGATCAATTGTGAAGCAATGGGTGGCTCTAATTTTTCTATAAGAACATTTCCATTTCTAAAATTTCATAGTTCATTTCTATTAATTTCTCTCCAGTTCTTTGTACTCATGAGTACAACTTACCAGGTTTTTTATACAGATACTATTTGAATCATGTAAATGTTTGGCCTTAATTTATTTGTCATTAACAGTATCCAATAAGAAATAATGGCAGTGAGGCATTTCGTTCAATTATGTTGTAGTTCAATTCATGAATTAGTAAAATAGCCAGGAAACTTTAAATGACTTGACTAGATCCGTGAATCATTTTAATTAGTCTTTTACAATTTATAAGTTTTTTGTCCATCCCTCTCATTTTGCTGTGGGAGAAAAAAAATTGTCAACCCAAAGAATTATATTGTTTTTTTATTCAGGCCCTAATAAAAATGAGGAGAAAAATTATGTTTGGACATTTCTAAATTAAACATTTAAGAGTCTGATTATTTGCAGAACATGTGGTCTAAATGAGAAAAATATAACGGTAAAAAAAATTGGGAATGAGTGGGACAAGGACATATTCTTATATGTCCTTCTAGACTTAAAGTGAGCAAACTAAGACCTGAGGAACTATTTTAGTGAATTAAATTTTATTGACACACAGCCATGCCCACCCTAGCTGTGGTTGCCTTTGTGCCCAACAGCAGTTAAGTACTTGGGAGCCGAATACGGTCCTAAAACAATTGCTATTTGCCTCTTCTCTAGTTAAACAAAGATATGCACTTATTACCCACAAAATGGCAGCAAGAGATTATCTTTTCACAAATCTGGGAAAGGCAGATTTTGTTGTTATAATGAAAAAATTTAAGAGGAAACTAGGGCTTCTGATCTAACCATTTTAAACTCTAAGAACTTAGTGGCCTACAAAAGGCCATTTACTAATGAAAACTTATCTAGTTATATTAATTTCTGTTTCCGTCATCACAAGAACTGTAGACGGTTTGGTGCAATTCTTTTTTCTTTTTTCTTTTTTTTAATTGAAAAAACATTGTTTTATATCCTTGTTAGTGTCTTGACAAAACAAGACATCACCTGTCAGGTAGAATCACCTCAGCTACCACAAAAGAGCTCACAGTCCACCATAATCCACTGTGTGCTCTCCCATGCTCTGTTCTCACCTCTCCCTCCCCCTTACATTGCCACAGAGATATCATTCAGTTTTACCTTTGTGGAAAGGGTGACAGTGTGGGAGAAAATCCCGCCACTCCCGTTACATGATGGCAAATATTTAGATTTCTGGCACCTGTTCTTGTCTAACTATCACTTCTATGGCATCACTGCCTAATTGAACTGCCACTGATGATGGCAGTGATAAAATATTGTGCTGTTCGATTTATTACTAGCTAAGCCACATGTGATTATTGAGCTCAGAGCCCTGATTTTTAAAGTTTATTTAATTTCAGTTACTTAAAAGCTGCATGTTGCTGGATAGTACAGTCTGATAGTCTACATCTGATGGGCTTTCAGATAATTTATTTTCAATTCAAAGGCACACACAGTGCTTAATTACTTAACTTTTGCCAGGAAGTGTACTGCCTTAACTTAATCTCTTAGCAACTCTGTGAATCTCTATTCCTATTTTACAGAAGAGAACACTGTCTCTCCAGGAAGGTAAGAACATGAGTGAGAACACCGTCTGCATGTGGCTCGTCACGATTAAATCTGATTTTCTGAGCCCATAGCTGTTGTACTTTGCTTTATACTTTCAAGGCTCCTTCTAAGATGTGAATTCACTTTGTAAGATGTGAATAGGCCACTTGTAGTCATGGATAATTTGAAAGTTGTTTAGCAAGCTGGACTCTAGAATTTTCATGCACCCCATACCTTGAGAAGCAAGGTAGAAATGCTGAATGTTTGCTTCTCGCTGTTGGGCAAATTGTAGGGACTCCAGTGTCTATGGTACTTTCTCAGATTTGCCCAATGCCTTGGGTAGGGATCCTTTTCTAGAGCATTCTTGTTAGGTCACTTCCTTTCCAGTATAGAAAACCATGGCCACTCACCAGCAGTGTAAGAGACTTCCACCACATGCTCACCAAAATTTATTGTTGCTAGTTTGTTTGTTTTTTAATTTGTGTCATTCTTACTAGTGTAAGGTGATATCTCATTGTGGTTTTGATTTTCATTTCCCTGATTATAAGAGATGTTGAATATTTTTCATATGCCCATAGGCCATTTGCATTTCCTCTTTGGAGAAGTGTCTTAATTTCTTCTGCCCATTTTTTGACTGGATTGTTTACTTTTATGTGTTGAGTCATGTGAGTGCTTCCTGTATCTTGTGATCAGTCCTTAGTTGCCTGTCTAAGTTAGCTTATACAAAGCGAACAAATCCAAAATTAATTACATTTTATATGCCAGCTGTGGAAAAGTATTTTTTTTTTTTCATATTTCTCCTATACATTGCAGAGACAGTCCATTGAGGATTCTTTTTTCCTTAAGTAGGAGCTTTTGTAACTTTTTCCTAGCTAGGCAAGAAAGAAATGGA